AAAGTAAATACAAATACCATAATAATGCATAATAATTCACTAATGATCTCGCATCCATCTTTACACAATTATCTTAATTAAGGAACCGCCCGCATCCGCATTAATCATTTTAAATACTAAATCATACACAATACGAAGATCGAATATCTTCGCAGTTTCGTATTTGACCTAGTTATATCCTAATCGAAAATGCATAAAATCTGCACCGTCTAATGACAACACGCATCCACGAACACATCTGAAACAAGCATCAATTTCTGAAACGAAAAGTCAAAAAAAAAATATCCGTTGATAACAAACCACGTATCGGTTTTCGGATGTAGGTCACGGGAGGGTAGCTCCCCCGGACCAAAAAAAATCCATTTTTCCGCCTAAACGGCGAGCCTCGAAATCGACTAGAAACGAGATCGGTTTCTCGTCCGCAAAGCCGGCGGTATGCTTTTCGAGCGATTGTCTGAGGGCTGGCGAGGTCCGGCGTTGCGTTATCGAACGTGCGGCGCAGAGTTTCTTAAAAGAGGACACCCTGTATTATTCCAGGGGATACAGAGGTGCACGACCTAGTTACGCTTGGGCGTGTTATATGGGTCATAGACACCATTCGCAGCCAGTCATACGTACACGCGCGTGCATACGGTCACACGTACACAGGTGCACGTGCCGCCCCGTGTAGGGGGTATACCTGCGCGAGAAGAGAGATCCAGGGAGAGTATAGTAGTTTCCAGGGAAACGCGGGGCTCCCGAATATGGGACAGTAAAAGTTTTACAGCTGACGTATATATATATAGTACGCCCGCGCAATTATCAGCCGCGATCAAACGGATTGTCTCCGGGAACCGGAAACACGGGTCGCGAAACGAGCAGCCGGAGCCGCGGTTGCTCTTTCCGATGCCTTTTTCCGGCCGAATATCTTGGCACCGCTCCTGAATATCGACTTCGAGCCGGCCCAGCGAGCTCTGCTGATTGGTAACGAGCGTACCGCGTTCGTTAATCGCTCGTTCCTTCGATTTTGTTTATGCGAGAGATCGAAATACAGCAACTGTGTATCCTTCAGCACCCTGCGCTGCGATATCGCGTCAGATTTTGTTAGTCCATTAAATCGGTTTATTATACACGCTGCGAAAAAAAATTGTGGCACAGAAAAATTCTGGACAAAAATTGCCCAACTTCGACGACAACACCGAGCTCCGTTCTCATGCCAAGAATGCACGGATTACTTTAAAGTGCTGTAACTTGGCGAAAAAAAATCGCAGCCACGTTTCCGTTTTTTTAAATTAAAGGGGAAGGATCGAACTTCGTTCGACTGCGAACGGTATTGTTGAAAAAAATTTGTCGAAGTTCGCGCGTTTCGAACTTGGCAATTTTCAATGTGACAAACATGGCGTCACGTTTAAAGGGTCACAGTGGCGAGGGTGCGTCAAACATGAAATCGAGGTACAGTGTAATAAAGTAGAGGTATCGAGCTTTAATTTGAAAGGAAAGTCATCGTTCTGCGATGATTTCTCGCGGAGTTATCGTCAGTCGAAGTTGGCCAATTCTTGTTCAAAATGTTCGAGCATTTCTTTCAAGTCGAAATAGAATTCTATTTTTCAATTACTAATATTTAGAAATTAAAACGTTTAGACATTTAGACATTAATTCAAATAAATCTGCAAATTGACGAATACATTTTATTTTTCGTCGGAGAAACAGTTAACTGATTAAAGCAAGGATTGGTGTACGATAAAGTATAAGTTTTCTTGCTCGCGCAGAAATTTATTAGCGGCGAAGTTAAACAACGTAACTCCGAAAGAAATCGTAGCGGAAGCTGTTAAAACGGTATAACTTTTTAAATATTGGTTCAAACGACTTGAACTTTTTATCTCGAGGAAGTTGATCCGTTTCGAAGGGTGTGCCGAAAGGGAGGACTGCACATAGTTGCAGGGAAGTATCTGCTCGTAGTTTCTTTAACTCGTACTCGCTTGACAATTTCTCGGGTTGCGAAAGAAGTGGACCTAGTTTCTCGCGGGGAAAGATGCTGAAGAAAATCTTGCGTAAGCATCCAATGGTATTAAGGACATCGGGATCGCTTTTATCGTCGAAGTTCCCTTTTCTATCCGTCCTTCCATTGGAATGGCTCGAATATGTCCTTGGAGATCGCGTCGTCCCGCGATAGAACGTCTCCAGGAGCTCTTAAAAATTTGTCAAAGCGCTATTTACCTTTCCACGACGATTGTAACTCTTGCTCCTCCCGCCCCCCCCCCTCCGGGGGGAAACGTATTTCTTGATTAGATACGATTCTCGTTCAGGATAAATCGGGATTTCCCGGTTTTCCTATTGAAAATCGGATCATTCTTCGAACGAACTCCTTCCGGTTCGCCGTTTCGATCATTTGTCGGTGGCAGAAAAGCCGCGCTTTTCGCCCGGTATCGCGCGCAGGGCGACAATTTCGCGTCATCAATCATCCGGCGATAATTAAGCGAAGCCAGCCGGCGCGGCTTAAGGACGACTGTACTTTCTGCGGCCGTTACCAGAAATTTATTCCGCAAAACGATTTGAATGAAAACGATCGATGTTAACAACACCACACGCTCCTCGTGGCGCAAGCTGAACGCTACAAATTACTCTGTTGTGCGCACGCGAGCCTGGCGTACAGGATCTGGATGACGAATCTCGCCCCGGCCGGGGCCTCGGCGATGCTCTTTCTTTTTTTTTCTCCCCCCGACGGGAGCCTCGGCAAAAATATGGAGGTCGACGTGAAAAGGTGTTTTAACCGAGGGGAAAACGCGGGCACCACCGCCTCGCCGCTTTCTCTTTTACGCTCACGGCCGCGCGCCGAGGAACGTCGAAAAACCGAAGGTCCTGGCTGAAGCTGTTTCCCAGAAGAGGGTCGGCGGATTCCTTTTTTCTTAGACCCTGTTCGAGGGAAACTCCGCGCCACCAATCGATACGATCAAGTAATTCGCGAAGAACCGCCGGGAAAATCGGTTTCGGAAAACTTTGCAGCATCTCCCGAGCATTCATAAATCTCCGGAACAGTTGCTCTTTAATAGAGTTCGTTGGGCGCCGCTGAATCTTCCAGGCAATTCGTCGGCGAATCTTCCAGGCACGGTGGTGGTGGTTCCTCTCTACTTGTTCCCCGGGGAATACGTTCGCGTCTCGTAATTATAAAATGCACAGAAATTTTCAGTTTTTGTACGTTGGAGCTAATGTAATAATTAAACTGCAGAGAGTTTTATGCAAAACGAGAACTGTTTACATCAATTGCAGAATGAAATTGAAACTAAATGGAAAGTTAACTCTTTTTTTTTTTAATAATTTTATTAGATTGAAAATAATCCAATGATATTTTAAAGTTCTTTTAATCTCTTTAGTATTTTATAAATTAGAACTACTCGGTATTTTGCCATAAATGCATAAAATCCGCAGTCTAATTATAATAAATGAAGTATGCCGTGTTCGAAATCGTAGTGAGAAAAAATGCGTCTTTTTTAGAAAGACAGAAACACGAAAACAGTAAAGCAGTGATTCGTTAGCGTTTCATAACTATAGAACCAAGCCTGCGAAGGTCGTTTTTCGTGGGTGCATCGTCAGTTTTGCTTTAACGAAGTCTAATTGGATGTATGCAAAATCGAATATTTGAACTCATTGAAAATAAAGGCGAATTTTCTGTTCAAATTTTGTGTAATAAAGTGTTCTACTCTGTCGGTTCTATATTTAGAATAAATACCCTTTTTAGAACAATATTGGTTTTCAATGCTATCTCAAATATGGCGTGCTTCATTCATTATTCAATTTCGGATTTTATGCAATTATAACAAAAATAAATAGATCGAATACGAAGCAGTAAAAATATTTAAAGAATTTAAAAACATTATTGCAACTAATTCATATTATTAGGAGAAGAAATAAAGTGTTTCTGAAGCTCCTGTATCTTGCAATCAATGTAAAGTATTTTCATTTTGCATAAAAATCGGCACTCTATTCATTGTTATATTAGCAACAATGTATAAAAACTGACAAATTTTGGGCGCTTCTATAATTATTAGACGCAGCGTATTCTGGGAATAGCCAAAGTAAAAATGAACGAAGCTTGCCAGAATATAATTGCAATTGCTAGGAACCGCTAAATCCTCCAATTAATCAAAGTAGGTCGATTTTGAAGTACAGTAGCGTCTCTCTACTGGTTTTCCGAAGTATATTAGAAGAATAAAAAATTTCAAGCTCGCTAGACGCTCGCTAAAGACCACTAAATCGTCCAATTAATGAAAGAAAATCGGTTCTGAACCACGATAGTGCCTCTCTACTGGCCTTCCGAGGAATATTGTAGGAATAGAAAATGCAAGAAGATTGTAACTGTTAAAATGAATCTGCTCGTGTGAACCGTATCGGATGAGAGGCGATGATAACCGATGACTACGGTATAACCTCTGTATCAGATCACGGAAGTCAATGTCGAGTCTGTTCCGACACAAAGGATTAGAGTTCCGAGAAGTTCAGCGTGAACCCCATAAGACAGGATTTGCGCTGGTAGTTCGGCAATCGGTCTCCGTCCACTCGTTAACCGAACAAATCATCCGCTTGGCAAACACGATTCCATGAACTCCCACGCGGAAGTATCATCGAGCATCAGCGAGAGCACAATAACGTCGCGCGATCATCTTCGCGGCACGGCAAAGCGGTTCACTCCACACCCGGTAGACTGTCAGCAACGCGCACGCGTGTTCAAGCTGGTCTCTCTCTCTCTCTCTCTCTCTCTCTCTCTCTCTCTGTCTCTTCAGCACGATTTTTCCTCTAACCCTGGTTTCCCTATTTCTTTTTTCTCTCCCCGTCTCAAAATTCAGCGGCCGTGCCCCTCTGCAACCCTCTCCGGGTCCTCTAACTGGTTGCTGGCTCGGTTCTTCTCGTCGTCCACTCTCTCTCTCTCTCTCTCTCTCTCTCTCTCTCTCGCGTCCTCCGCCCCCCTCCGCCAGCTAGTTCTCTCCTCGTTGGCGATCAGAGGAACCGCCGAGCGCGTTTCTCTCTCAGTCTCTCGCGCAAAGCGGTTCGGTGGCGACGTGCGCCGCGTTGCACTCGATAGATTGCGGCTGGTCCAGGTCTCTCTCGGTTCTCCTCTCACCGTTGCTCGCGGCGTTTCCCGCCTTCGACGTCGTCTTCGCCCTCGTGTGCTTCTCACCTCGCGGAGCTCGGCCTCCCCCGAAAGGGGATGCAAGAGACGGAAGCTCGGCCGAGATAGTCCGCGCGCCGACAGAGAAAGAGAGTGTACTTGCTATTTTCGAGACGCCGTGGAGCCCGGCCAACGCGCGCGTCCGGTTCACCGGACGGAAAAAATCGACGGGGATCCGCGGGTGGAAGATCATCGGTGATCCACGGACAACCGCGCCGCGCGATCCGCCGCTCCTGGATCCAGAGAATCGCGAGAAACGCGTGCTCCCCGGGACGACGGATTCCTCCTCGGCCATTGGTCAACGGGGAAAAACAAACTGCCTCTTCCGCGTCGAGGAGCAGAGTTGAACGATCGCTGGCGATCGTGATCGGAGAGCCCTGTTACGCGAGCCGTCGAGCCGATCACACGATCCCCGGGTGTTGACCTGCATTAACCCGATCGGCTTCGGGAAATTGGCCCGGCTCTGGACCGTCTAGCTGATTGCTATTGACGGGGGATCGACGAGGATCGGTGTGCGAACTGTCGCTAGATCGTTGCCCGAGATCCTTCGGTGTGATTCTTCGTCGGGGTGTGGATAGTGCGGTTGAGGTTGTTCAGCAGAGACGAGCAGTTCTGTGAGGTGTTTGACGATGTTTGAGGGACTGGAGAGGCGCGCGGGATCTATCGTTCGCTGTGCAGAAGAGTAACAGAGTTTTCTAAAGGGAGATGAGGATTGTGACGGGGATCTGATTCTGCAGCGAGTTGTTCCGCGGCGATGGTTGCCGTTGTTTGTCCGTTGATCGTCATGGAGAGCTGTTTGTGGAGGTTTGTCGTGGATTTTGTTGATCGAGGTGCTGTAAGGATATTCTTCCAAGTCGAACGAATCGCGAGGGAACTCGATGGATTTCGCGTCGATCGTAGACAAACTTGTTCAAACGGTAGAAAATATTAAAGAAAGCTTTTAATTGTAGAAAGTCTGGAGAGGACTCCTAAAGATGCTACGAAGCTCGGGGTTATCGCTTATCAACAAAAACACGTTCGCGACTTTAAAGACGCGAGGCTTGGTCAAACTTATCCAAACCGCGCCGCGTTTGTCAGTTTTCGAGCATGTCGATTGATTATAGAATAATTTCACAAAAGGTCAAACAGCTATGTCTACGAAAGTGGGCATTGGGATCAAGAAAATTGTAAATAAAGCTGAACAATAATTATAAGCGAGACATCGTGATTAAAGTCTCCGCAGGAAAAGTGGCAACGGTGATCGATAATTGCGAAGGGGTGGTTAATAAATTTAGCCTGTATGAAATACCACGGACTCGTTGATGTATTTTAATATCGAGCGTAAAGAAAGTCTTTGTCCCGTGCTTTATATTCATTGCCGGGGAGTTCGATGAATGCTGTCGTCAATGACTAACAATGTTTCCGTTCGTACACACGTTCGCCTGGAAATTACACCGGTTTTAGTGCATTCCTTAATCCCGGGCGCAGCCGAGTTTACAACTAAACTCGTTACCGTTGACGGCAACTTCCGCCTGGACGTTTTCGAAACTGTCGAAGTTCCGGAAGTTCTCGGACTGCCGTTATAAAATATGTTGCATTTTTCTTTCGACTCGCGTAAGCCTCGCGTATCTCGTTCTCGAGGCAATTTGGCACGAGAAGCCGCGTTCGCGTTTCCTGGGAATAAATCAATTTTGAACGAACGATTTCGAAAATCGTTTTCAATCTGGACAAAAATCGTAGCTCAAAGCGCGCCGAGAAAGCCCTTGTACGCTCGGACAATGCTCCAACGAACGCGTGAAACGCATTATTAACACGTTAAGTGCCAAAAATTCCCCACAAAGTCGAAGTAATTTGATTAATGGAACGGAAACTAGAAAGTTAAAAGTTACCACAGTGGATGGTATTTGATCTCTTTTGCATTTTGAACATACTAGTGAGATTCAATTTTGTTCGAATCCATTGCAATAGAAATTAATTTTGAAAACTAATAAAAACAATTAGAGTCGCCCGAATGTGAGGAACATGGCACTGAACGTGTTAATCCATTACCATTTCTAACGTTTAACACCGCATCCTACGTTTCTGACCTGAAATGAAATCGTTGACGTGTTTGTATCTGCTTCCAGAGTGTACGATGTTGGAAGGTGGACGTGCAGTGGTCTGGCTCCTTGTATCAGCCCCACGAGCTGCACGCCACCCAAACGATTCACGTACTAACCCAATTGCACCTGTTTGAACCCACCAGTTGCAGAGTCCTGCACCGTAACCCCATGACGCATTTAACACATGGCCCGCCTGGAGAGTAAGTGCTGCATCACAATTTTTCGTTCTCGTCCCCCAGCCCCCCTGCTCTACCGTGTCCTTCCTCCGCATAGTGATTCACAGCGGCTATTAGCCGTCTGCGGCGAGCTATGCATACAATTCACGTCAGTTCATAGAAAGTCCCTTCCATGCCGAGCTGTGAATCACGAGCTTTGATACTTTCACGAACCGGTCGAACTACAATCCTCTCCCTTGCTATGTATCTGTTCCCAGCAAAGGATCGGTTGATCCAACAAATCCTCAAAGCTTGAAGAAACTTGCAGTGGTTTCCGATCCTTTGACGGCAGTGCCCTTGATCCACCTAGACACCGAGTTAGGCTTCATTTAGTTCTTCTCAGATCTCGCACTGTCTAGATACTAATTGGATACTAAGCGGATGAGCCCTCTAGGTGGACACGCAGGCATTGTCATCCTTTAGAGCTACCTGGCAGTTCCTGAGAGTTAGCCAATTAATCATGCGAAAGGGGATCCATTAGAATTCCATTTGGTTGTTACAGTACCAAGCATAGTGGTGCATAAAGGCAGCAGGTCGCACAGCCGACCTGAGAGCCCCACGGTGGTCGTGGGAGGAGGAATGCCCTCACTGCCGTCTTCCAGGCAAGGCTTCGTCATAGGTGGCCCGAACGTGTCATATCAGAACAATTCGGAGTCGGATATGATAGACGGGAATGCCAATCCCAATGTCGGCTCTTCACCCACGCTTCATCGTACCGCGCCCTCTTGTCCACCCGATAAGGCCGACACAGAGAACAAAAACTTTCGTAATAGGGTAGGTCTACCTGGTCCAAAATTCGTTTAGATAAACCAGCAGTCGCTAATATAGCTGTGCAAGCCTAAATCACTTTCCATGTACGAGTGCTAGATCCCTCTTTCTTGTAGTGTTAACATTGTTGAAGCGCTGATGAATCCTGAAGGGCATCCTCACGCTAGGATTATCATTTTAGTTGTTACTTTAAGCGTTATTCTAAATGTTTTGTGTTGAGCATTGTGGATAGACTAATCGGATGATCTGTTTTTGGTGGATTGTTAAGGTAAAGTTGTTGGTCAGGAGTCATGCCATGAGAGAGTCGACGTCTCCCCCGAGGGAGCCATACAACGGTTCGTCTTCTCCGCACAGTCCTCAGTCGGTAGACGGGGAGAGAAAGTACACGGGCAACCTGTCTCCTAACTCTACCAACACCAAGCTCAACAACAACGAGTCAATGTTCAACAGCAATCTCTGTCCGAACCAGTCCCCGAAGCAGATGCGCAACACGGCTACTTCACCTACCTGTCGAGCTCCGTCGCGAAATGGTAACTAACTCGCCACCAAACGTTGCCTCCCCCCAGCATCTCCGGTCGTCCCAGAAAATAGTGAGGCTCAAGTAACACGCGATTCACAATTACAAAGTCGATCCAGTCCTTCTCTAGTTCACCAAAACTTAATCCTGGTTCCCCTGATTCTCTCGACATCTTCAGCCACTGTAGAGAATTATGAGCCGATTTCACAATTTCAGGACAATCTAGTCCTTCCCAAGTTCATTCACCAAAGAATAACACATCTCCAACGAACGGCAATAAGTCGGAGTTCCAGCGTTCCAAGATGACCGGTTCGAACGTGATTCAGAAATGCAATAACTGCGTGAAGAACAATCAAAATGACCGGCCCGGCTTGCTGCAGACACCCGTGTCGCCTACGAAATCGGGCCAGGCGTTGCAGCACTCGCCGAAGAGCATCAACCTGGCCCAGAACGCTCAGAACAATCAGAAGTCGGAGCTACGTAGATCGAACACTCTGAACATATGCAACAATCAGTGCGGCACGCAATGCGGGAACACTCTCTCCGTGAGCAGACCAGGTTCCAGGCACAAGCTCAGGCACCAGAACTCGTCCCAGGGTAGCTTTGACAGTGCTTCGCCATGTCTGTCCAGAGGTGTGAGAACTAAAAAAGTTCGCTAACTATCCTCTCTCCGAAATTCAGCGTGGTTCTGATCAATTCTTTCGCCTTCTCTATTCACAGACAGCAGCACAGAGCTGTACACAGACAGCACCGGTATAGATTTGGAACACTTCATCGCGGAAACCATAAATCGTAACCAAAAGGACCGCACCGTACTGTTAAAAATCGAGAAGGATCTGATAGAGTTCGCAAAGGATACACAGAAAGTCTGCCACAAGTTCCCGAACATGTCCTCGTACAACAGGATGCTGGTGCACCGTGTGGCTGCTTATTTTGGTATGGAGCACAACGTGGATCAGTCCGGTTCGAGTGTGGTAGTGACCAGGACGAAGAACATGCGGATTCCCAACACCCGTTTTAAGGAGCACATCAGGGACGACCTGATCCTGTCAGAGGAACCGCGTAGAAGTATTCTGAAGAGAGACTCGAGTTCTTTCGAGGACAGTTTCAATTTCAAATCGCCTGATAGGTTGTCCGGAGATTATTGTCGGCAAAGTAAGAGCTTCGAGGAACGGGAAGAGGAGTATGAGCGCGCCAGGCGAAGGATATTCAAGGACAACAGTGGAGATAGTGGCGAGGTTCATTCCTGGCCTTATTGGTCCTCTTCGGAGAGCTCTGACTCTGCCAGATATCGTCTGCTGCATCCTTCGGATCACATGATGAGGTGAGCAAGTAAATTAAACATGTAAATCTAGTAAGATAGCTTGTTGGTTCCAGTTAATAAATATTTGTTGATTTACTAGGCAAACAAAGTTGATGAAAGGGGAATCCTTCGACGGAAGAGAGTCTTGTCGAAGCGGTGTCCTGAGGCCGTCCGTCTCCAAATCCTTCAGTTTCGGTGGTTATACCAGAGGCATGCTGTCCAGGGGCATGCTGTCCAGAGGGGACAGTGTCACATCTACTCATAGCGCTGGCGCTCGTCTTATGAAGCAAGGTTTGCTGCTTCCTCTTTACCATAGATTGCTGCAAACAGCGTATGAGTATCTTGTCTACAGGATAGACACTTGGTTGCAGATTCAGGTGCTAGCATGTGTTCACGACTAAGTCCCTCGAGCAGCGGCTACAAGTCTCAGAGTCAGCGCAGCGATGCAACGATATCCCCATCACCGTCGCCATCACCGGTTGCAAACATGACGTGCAGCCACACCCAAGTATCTAGTCAGGATCTTGTCTCGCCGGAAACGAGCAATCAGACGGTGATGTGGGCGGTTACCAGTATATCCAGCGTGCCGCCCGGTAGCATAATCATCAACCCGCAGACGAACCAGCCGTACACGAACCCGGACGGTTCGATATACCGTTTCGATCCGGAGAACCCGCCAAAGTTTTATACCTCTGCTGTGTCGCCGCACGAGAATGACAGGAACGCCGTGTCCCCGAAGAATACGGAGCCGTCCGAGCCATCAAAGGTGATCAATAACGGTAGGAGCGAGGGTAGAAAGAGGTCGCAGATGAACAAAAATAATAACAATGGTGGTAATGCAACGACGATTACCCATGTGACGAATACTGCGACTTCGCCTAGTTTACCCTTCACGCCGCCTCCGCAGCTGAATCCACCGCTTCAGCATCAACCGCAGCCGCAGCCACAGCATCAACAGCCGCAGCACCATCAGCAGCCGCAGCACCACCAGCCACAACAACAAACTCTAGTCAAGTCGTCGTCGACGGTGCAATCTTGTAACCACAACCAAACGGCTCAACCGTACACCACATACATACCTACCTCAGAATCGTACAACCCAGGTGTTTATCAACCCCCAGTAGGGCAGCAGACTGTGATGATGGCTCCTCATCCGAACCAGGGTCAGCCGAATGTACAGAATAATGGCCAAGGGGATGTATTTAATCAGAACTCGGTTTACGCGAATTATGCAGTACCTGTGCAACAAGGACCAGTGTCGCAAACAACGGTAATGATCATTTAGATCGGTGGTTCTCAACCTGGGGGAGATTGTATATTTTATTAGCGGGTACATCAGGGTGAAAGAGTTTGAGAATCACAGATCTCGATGGCACGATTCAGTGGTTCATTCAGGTGTTAGAACGATCGTGTTGTCCACTTTAGGAAATAACGGAACTGTCTGGATATTTTATGGGTATGAGTATCTACGATCAGCGTGTGTCCGGTGATAATCATTCGACGCCACCGCATTCTTATCCGCAACCACAACCGTCTACACATCAGGCGGTGCAAAGTGTGCAGTCTATGCCGCAGAACTATTGGCAACCGCCGCCAAACTCAGTCCCGGTATACTTGCTGAAACCAGTGGCAGTTTTAACACGTTACCTACCAGTGAATATTTAATAATTATCAAACAATTGTGAGAGTTAAATAGAAATTTATGGCTATAATATTTCCAGTAACTTCATCTTACAATTTTTTTTTTGAGATTACTATTTAGAAAAATATTTTCCGGTAGGTAAAGCGTTGAAAGGTTCATTGTTCGGAGAGCTGTCATTGTCTGTTTTTTATTACAGGCGCAACAAACAATGTATTTTGTACCCCCGCCTGGTACAGCACTTTCGGTCAGTCAGGGTCCAGGTGATAGGCAGCAGTTGCACCAGCAACAGAGATACACGACGAATTATTCTTTTAACGCGCAAACTATGACGCCTCCGAGCCAATCAAATTGTAAGCCGGGGCTTCTCTTCTTGGAAGCGTCTTTCTCTCTCTCTCTCTCTCTTTCTGTGTGTATTGATTATTTAATTATACATTTTCTATTTCAGCCAATTATGTGGGCAGCTATCCAGTTCCTTATAATTCGGTACCTGCTGTGACACCGACACCAGGAGAATATAGCTACCAACCACCGGTTCACATGGTTCCCACGTATTACCCGTCAGGGCAAGCGGCGATACAACCACAACCTGTCATGTACAGAGTACCCACGCCACCAAATACCCCGACTTCTAATCAGGTACTTGATTAATTGCCTTCATACTGTTACGAGTCTTTGACTACGTCATTCTAATATTTGAATAGATGGTTGTACTAATGGAAGAAATTGTGCAGATGCCAGGGATGCCGTTGATGTACGTCAATTCAGGTAATTATCCACCGCCAACGATGGTGTCCAATGGAACGTTCGGTCATCAAGTCGGGCACAGTGGCGCATCTCCCGCGCCTCCTGGAACTTACATGACTCCTGCGCTGGTTCCCAATCTCGTTATTAGGCAAAACGGTCCTGTAAGGATATTGCTCTTTATATTTGGAACGTTTAAGGATGTTCAACCTACAGGAAATTCTAAAATATCATTATTTTTGCAGGTTGTTGCCGGTGTTCGAGCTTCAACGCCAGGCAACTCTCAGAGGACTAGCAGGTCGCCGACTCCAGCACACGAGCTGTTCGGAAGTGGGAGTGGGGACAGAAGCGCACAACCCCAACCACGTTACCCACTGCCAATGTATCAGGGTGTCCATCTTGTTCAAGGTAGACAACATCCTCTTTAAACGAAGTCTTGGAGTCTTAACGAGATACATTTCCTATATCACTTCCAGGGGATATGAGATTGATGCATCCCGGAGTACCAGCTAATCCGCGGCTGCAGTATGCACCAGTACCATCACCACCTGTTGTTCAAGGTTGTCCACGACCGTACCGACCGCCTTCGTACTCGTCAAACACCTCAGGCGCTGGCACTCCCACCTCGTTCGATGGCAGAAATCCGAAAATTCGTAAACAGAGGTGAGATTTCATTGAGAACATGATTGCTGATGAGTATTGATGGGAATTTATTGATTAGGTCCAAAGTAACACCGTTGCCACCGACAGGCCCGCGGCCCAATCTTTATCAAACTCCTTCCATGCCATCGCTCTCGCCCAACGTGCCGAAAGATCTCAGAGAAGGTAAGAATCGACCATTCACGCGAGGATTTAGATTCAATAAAAATTAGATGTTCAGCTCGATTCGGTACGTTCTGCTTGGAAAGTCTCTCTCTCTCTCTTTCTATCTATCCCTCTCTTTCTCTCTCTTTCTCTCTGTTTACTTTATCCTATCTTCTGTTGTTCCGCTTACGAAAGATCGAAAAAAAGAAACGAAATGTGACACAACTTTTGACACGTATCTCTTGTGTATCCCCTTAAAAGCGAAACCTGTGGAAGACAATATGATCTAAGGTACAGAATCTTCATCAGTAATCAAATACTACAACGAACACGGTATATAACCACATCGTTTACCATAGGCGCTTCTTTCACACCGCGTTCAGTTCGCTTCTGGTCGATATTTGTTCGTGTGGAAGTATGTCTGGAAAAATGCTTCCTATTTTGTTAACGTTGTTGCAAATTGAATTGAACAAATGAACTATATACAAAATAGTAAAATCAAAATTAGGAAGCTACAATTTTTCTAAGCATTTTCGATACCACAGTGCACTGTACGCTTACACGCTCATGCGCAGAGGCGGTGTTCACGGTATTTCCTCTCTAAATAATTTATTTTCTATTGAACATTGTTAATTAGAAGTTTGGAAAAATTAATCGATCATTTTCTAACTTGATAAAATGTACAGCGAGGAAATACTGTATACTATGCAGAAGTGTTGCCTTCAGACTAGTTGAAGTGAATGTGATTACCGCACAACTGATTCATTTCTCATTATCTTTTCTGTTTGAGTGAGGCTGTGTAGCGTTGAGCTTTGTATCGCACGATTGTCGTGGTAAATACCACGGTTGACCAAAAACAATTCGGTAATTCACCGTGTTCGCACAGCCTGCGAACTCCGTCGTTATTTAGATCGGCCGTTCACGGTGTATCTCGATATACAGGGTGCTCAGCAATTTATAAAAAATATTTCCAAGCATCATTCTGTGAACAAAAGTAAAATGAAAATCAAAAAGAATGACATTCGTTTCAGCTGCGTTTTTAGATTAGTAAAAAGCCCCTTGGACAGGCAACTACATACACAGCTATGCAAGTTCTTGAATCTCGAAGCTTGACAATTATTAATGCATTCTAGTTGCCTGCACAAGGAGTTCAATCCAAATTTTAAATTAGAAAACAAAATCGAACTGCAACGCGACCTTAATTCAAATATTTTATATCGTGGAGCGATACTTCGAAGTATTTACTACCGATAATAGGACACCCTATACATCTGTGTACTTCTTATCGCAGTCCTGATTTGCACAAAGACGACAAAACTCACCGGCATTGTTTGTGACGAAGACACCGCTGGGCTTTGAAACCGACCAACGCTGCTCTCAGAAGTAATGTTCTCGTCTTGCAGGGACCGTGAAGGTGACAATCACCCGTCGAAATCAACTGGTACAATATTAGATAGCTGGTCCCAGCCGTGAGAAGGGAGAAGAACGAAGAGAAGAGAGCAAGAGGAAACCGCGAAAAAGATGGAGGAACACCGTCGCAGGCTAATAGAAAAATCGAACAATTGGAACCGGACGTCGAACCAGTGGTTCACCGACACGAAACACGATTCTTATTAATTAACCCGTACTTTTAATCATCAACGAGGATAGGGTAAGCGTGCGCACACCGCCGCCATGGAAAAATATACTCGAGCAAACGGATAACGCTCTAATATTGAACAATTTACAACAAGGACAGTAACAACACACACACACACACTCGCGTACATGCTTATACACGATACATACGTACACACACACACACACACTCACACACACACAGTCGCTGAAACTTTTTGATAAAACGACCGAATCCGAGAAAAGTCATATGTATCGATTAAGAAAATTCGAACTATCATCAAGATTAATGGGTGCAGGGAGGGGTGGGGGGAGTCATTAAAGGAATTCTACATATACGTGTGTGCTGAAGAACAGAGATGAGAGAATGTGAGTTATTACTACTTTTTTTTGTTTTTTTTTTAAGCATAGGTATATCAGATACACAGTGGTACATCGTACAGAGAGTTACTGAACAGAATTTTACCTATTATAATTATTATATATATATTATATATATATTATATATACATACAATATATATATATACAGTATATATTATATCTGTAGATATTTTAATGGCGGTTTTACAGATAACTAATGAATGTGAGATTTAATTTTAAGGAAAGTGGAAGAAGAGGTACTGTTACAATGAACAGACACGCACGCACACGAGACACAGAGACACGTACACACGTATAGGAACACACGGCGATGACCTGAACCAACCGTACGGGGTTGCTGAGGGGAGTCAGTATATAATAATGATAAACACTAATGTACGAGTATTATAATGTACGCGTTTACTGAGTACGTTTACAATTTGCCGCGAATCCCACTGGATTGGCCAGACAAGTTCGTTCAGGAACGATCACTGCTCACCGATTCTCCTGCGTACTGCCACCAAAGAGTTGCTTTAATCCTAAACGGAAACGAAGATAATCGCTGCCGGCCGCGATCCAGAGTGAAATTGTTTGCTACCTCAATTTTGATATCGAAAACCTTTTTGAAAACCGGCTTTCGCCGAGGGTTCACAGGGCACCTCGGCAAATTCCGGTTATTTTCGCAAGATCGTTACCGATCTCCGTGACGAGATGCAGGTCGTTTCGAGCCCTACAATTTATTTCATTGAAGAGATTAACGATTCGTCGATAGACTGTGGAATTCTATACATCTACAGCGAATTCTACTAAGAATCATAAAATGATAAATAATACTGACCATAGTTTTATTTTATTTATAATTCACTGAAACTATTTTCATCAATGGCAGAATTTAATTTTTGTTAATTTACATTTCTCGGTTTGTAATATTTCATTTGATTGCCAATAAATCTTTTCAATTGATTGTAATTTAATGGAATCGATTACTACTATTTGCTTTTTTCTCTCATTTATCTGAAACCGTTTTGAGGGAATTGTCTTAAATTTATCTATGAAAATGAGTTTTGCTGTCTATTTGACAACTCTAACGTTGAAATTTGTATAGTTTACAAGATACAGTTTTGCAATCTTATGACGAAACGAAATGACCTGTATCACAGCACAAGTTGAAGCGTTTCTCGGAAACGCAGCGTGATCCACGTCTAGTTTCTTTGACGTCGTTGCCGTCTCGATCCCGAGATCTTCGACGATCATTTCGGTACATGTTAATCTCCGAGTGAACCTGTAAACGTATTCAGTACATGGTCTATATATATATAGTTCGACACAGAGTAGTTAAGTAGCGCGAAACCATCACAGCTTAGCAGTCGCTGAAAGATGAGCCGCCTCTTTTACGGGTCTCTTCAACATCGTTTTTCACGTTTTGTTCTGCCTGTCTAGAAAAGAATCGATATCGATGTTCTGTCAGAGCGTTGCCTTTAAGAGGATTCAGCAAAATGAACTTCAATGTCCTCCCAAACTGTTGACAAGTCTACAGTTAGCACCTGTGATAAGACTTTCTCTGAACGATGGAAACGTCTAATGAATTATTCGATAAATAATGAAATTGATGATGCTAGTTGCACGGCAGAAAACCAACTAGCTAGTCGCTTTACATCGATGACCGCAGTCTACAAATCTCCCAGTTAAATAAAGTGTTGTCCATAATGCTGAAACCACTTAGCCGGTACGATACCGCCCGATAGAACTGTAAAAGTATAATTCATATCGCGCACGGTGTAACTATGATTCGTCTTCCAAAGCTTCTCACGGCACGCTTTTGAGTCACACACAGAAACACAAGGTTGCATACAGGATGTCCGAGCTAACAAGAGCATAGAGAAATCGTTTTCAGAGCCCGATTCAACGTGTATAAGTTCGTCAGCGGTGATGGTAGCGCGTGATCGTCGTAAATAAACAAAAAGATAACGTCTCCGTCTGTGAAAAAATATATTAACAATTTAGGGATCAGCGGGAACCAAAGTTCGCGGTTTCTTTCGACGAAACGTTTCCGGTTTTTGGAATCTGTTATCGAGAATCGATGAATCTTCGGGATCTATCTGCGAGGAACCGATAGGTTTTTGGTCCCTGTTGGTCCTTGATCGGGAAAAACCAAGTGGAATCCATCCAAAAGCTTCGCTTACGGTGAATTGTACTTCAGGACGTAGGTGAAGGTGTGCCTGTCTTTTTATGAGATCTCCAGAGTCGTTCTCGCGTGATCTATGGATCAAAGGGGATCGGGAAGGGGATTGGAAGCGAGTCGGGCGGACATGTTAGTTCAGTCGTCGATTCTAAAGAGATGGGCGCACAACCGTAGTGTTTAACTGTACCTAAAGTCGTCGTAGAGATTAATGAAGATAATTGTACCTATAATGAAGAAAAAAAAAACATACACACGCAGTCACACATACATATACTCACACACAGACACACACAGACACGAAGAAAAAATCAGTTCACGAATCTCTCTAAGACATAATTAACGAAAAGCGGAAAAGAAGCAAAAAAATAACGAAGATGGACTATCGGCTACAGAGGGAGCCGCCCGCGAGCAGCATCCAATTCTATGGTCTTTCTGTATTATTTTGTGTAGTATTGTGTGCACAGGGTGACCTATGATAACTGTAAAAATTTGTGAGAGATGTTTGGTAAAACAGACATGGAATTGTGATCCGAAGTTTATTAAATTTTTCAGTCAAGATGTTAAAGTCAAAGTCAAAATCGTCTCACTTATATGTTATTTCGAAGAATTGTATTTGAGAAATCCTGTGCGCCATTAAGTCCAACTTGTGTCCGTGGTTTCAGTCAAAGTAAATGAAACTCGCGAACAGGTGAAAATGGGAGTTGCTGGCGGGCGAAAGCGCGTTAAAACGCGACCGGAAACAGCTGAACCAAAGTCATAATCGCCAATTGCACGGTCACGTTTATTTATTTATTCATTTCGCTCGCGTGTACGCTTTTATCGAATGCTCGACGCCCCTGTAATCCATCTGACTCTGGTATTCAATTGATCATACACGTTCAATGATTCATTCATTTCCAGACTGCAGATCTTCGAGCACTTGCAGCATGCGTGTGTTTTAAAGTGCAAGGATCTGTGTGCACTTACTAAAATTCAACTTTTTGCACTCGAAGCTATTTTAAAGGCAAAACCGAAACATTTCTTCTGACATATAGTATTTCCATTTTTATATAATTCATCTGTTTTTGGTAATGTAATGTAATGCTTAAAAATGATAATCTTAATCGTCTCAGTTTCATCCTTAGTTTGTACATAGTTATTTTTTTAATTTGGTAACATATTTATTCACCTCTTCATGTTATGCACACGAAAGTCAATGTATCTGCGCATGCGACATTACATATTTAATCATTTATTAAAGATATAAACAATTTCGTAATGCATGAATTCTTTTGCAAAATGGAATTGTAATTTTTGGTGGTCATTCGAGTAAAAAGAGTTCAATGTCTATTTTATCTGTAAGCAATTTTTCTATGTTGTATTCTCTAAAGAAGACACTTGGAATGCCCTCGCAATAGTATTGCAATTTATGCTTGTTATAACTATGAATGCATTTCAGGATAGCCTTCTTTACAGAAGATTCTTGTAAAACAAAGGTTGAACGTGGGGATTTGCATGGAGATCTGCAGTCTGTTCATTTCTATTTATTTCAATGCAATTGTACAATGACTTCTAGAAGAGAAAGAAAGAAAAAGAGAGATGTCAAGGTGGTCGGGCAGGTGTGTCGAGCACGATCGCCACAAGTGATTTCGTAAATTCGCCTGGGCTATTCTACAAAACAATGCTAGAATGAGAGACAGGGTGGGGAGGGGGGAACCAAAAGAGAAAGAACGAGAATGAGAGAGAGAGAGAGAGAGAAAGAGAAGACACCGAAATCGATGATGGCATCCGGTCGTCGGATGATCCGAAGAACTATTTAACTAACGATCGAGGAGAACTGGTGATAAAAAAAGTCATTGTAAGTTTCGCAAGACCTCACGTTCGTTTCCTACTATTTTTGTATGCAACATAAAACAAAAGGAGATTGATGGTTGCGAGAGTGAACAGAAATTTGAGTGTGAGAGAATGCGAGAGAGAGAGAGAGAGAGAGAGAGAGAGAGAGAGAGAGAGCAAGCAGCATGCGTTTCATTAGAAGAGAGGAGACGANTCTAAAGAGATGGGCGCACAACCGTAGTGTTTAACTGTACCTAAAGTCGTCGTAGAGATTAATGAAGATAATTGTACCTATAATGAAGAAAAAAAAAACATACACACGCAGTCACACATACATATACTCACACACAGACACACACAGACACGAAGAAAAAATCAGTTCACGAATCTCTCTAAGACATAATTAACGAAAAGCGGAAAAGAAGCAAAAAAATAACGAAGATGGACTATCGGCTACAGAGGGAGCCGCCCGCGAGCAGCATCCAATTCTATGGTCTTTCTGTATTATTTTGTGTAGTATTGTGTGCACAGGGTGACCTATGATAACTGTAAAAATTTGTGAGAGATGTTTGGTAAAACAGACATGGAATTGTGATCCGAAGTTTATTAAATTTTTCAGTCAAGATGTTAAAGTCAAAGTCAAAATCGTCTCACTTATATGTTATTTCGAAGAATTGTATTTGAGAAATCCTGTGCGCCATTAAGTCCAACTTGTGTCCGTGGTTTCAGTCAAAGTAAATGAAACTCGCGAACAGGTGAAAATGGGAGTTGCTGGCGGGCGAAAGCGCGTTAAAACGCGACCGGAAACAGCTGAACCAAAGTCATAATCGCCAATTGCACGGTCACGTTTATTTATTTATTCATTTCGCTCGCGTGTACGCTTTTATCGAATGCTCGACGCCCCTGTAATCCATCTGACTCTGGTATTCAATTGATCATACACGTTCAATGATTCATTCATTTCCAGACTGCAGATCTTCGAGCACTTGCAGCATGCGTGTGTTTTAAAGTGCAAGGATCTGTGTGCACTTACTAAAATTCAACTTTTTGCACTCGAAGCTATTTTAAAGGCAAAACCGAAACATTTCTTCTGACATATAGTATTTCCATTTTTATATAATTCATCTGTTTTTGGTAATGTAATGTAATGCTTAAAAATGATAATCTTAATCGTCTCAGTTTCATCCTTAGTTTGTACATAGTTATTTTTTTAATTTGGTAACATATTTATTCACCTCTTCATGTTATGCACACGAAAGTCAATGTATCTGCGCATGCGACATTACATATTTAATCATTTATTAAAGATATAAACAATTTCGTAATGCATGAATTCTTTTGCAAAATGGAATTGTAATTTTTGGTGGTCATTCGAGTAAAAAGAGTTCAATGTCTATTTTATCTGTAAGCAATTTTTCTATGTTGTATTCTCTAAAGAAGACACTTGGAATGCCCTCGCAATAGTATTGCAATTTATGCTTGTTATAACTATGAATGCATTTCAGGATAGCCTTCTTTACAGAAGATTCTTGTAAAACAAAGGTTGAACGTGGGGATTTGCATGGAGATCTGCAGTCTGTTCATTTCTATTTATTTCAATGCAATTGTACAATGACTTCTAGAAGAGAAAGAAAGAAAAAGAGAGATGTCAAGGTGGTCGGGCAGGTGTGTCGAGCACGATCGCCACAAGTGATTTCGTAAATTCGCCTGGGCTATTCTACAAAACAATGCTAGAATGAGAGACAGGGTGGGGAGGGGGGAACCAAAAGAGAAAGAACGAGAATGAGAGAGAGAGAGAGAGAGAAAGAGAAGACACCGAAATCGATGATGGCATCCGGTCGTCGGATGATCCGAAGAACTATTTAACTAACGATCGAGGAGAACTGGTGATAAAAAAAGTCATTGTAAGTTTCGCAAGACCTCACGTTCGTTTCCTACTATTTTTGTATGCAACATAAAACAAAAGGAGATTGATGGTTGCGAGAGTGAACAGAAATTTGAGTGTGAGAGAATGCGAGAGAGAGAGAGAGAGAGAGAGAGAGAGAGAGAGAGAGAGCAAGCAGCATGCGTTTCATTAGAAGAGAGGAGACGAAGAAAGTTTTTTGACGCTTCTCGTTGGGAAGTCCGCATCTTCCTAATCACCTTCCGTTGCTTGCACGTCGATGACTCGTTAGCGAAACCTTTCCTGTTTGTTACATGAGTTGCTTGGTCCTTTCTACAGACAGTTAGCTGAAGATCTATCGACGATAATACTCGATTAGCCGGGAATTTTGTTCGTCGATCGACTCTGCGAGAAGCCACGGGATTTCAAATTTTTCGCGCACTTCTGGTGGCACCGATCTCGCGATGATCAAGGTCGAAGGTCAGTGACCCTTGGTCCTCATTGTCTCATGTTCATTTGTTTCTGTTCGAAAAACTGTGCGGGACACAGAAAACAGATTTACTCATACGTCACTGACCTCTTCGAACTGTCGATGAACAAAATTCCATTGTTTCATATGTAAATCACATAAAACCAAGCTTTCATTCGACAATTTTGCTTAAATCGTTTCTAGACTGCGAATCTTATGTATTTGTAGCAAAACTCATCGTATCATTTTCGCAATACAAGAATTAAAATTATCATAAGAAAACTGTGAACACAATCCATACAAATCTATAAAGATACGCAGTCTAATCATTATTTACAAGAGAAAGTTGCATACAACACGGGACTCGAGAAACAGTTTTGTTTTGTTCTGGTTCAGGGTGTGGGAACAGCTCGCTATGATTGGGGCTACAATATCTAAGAACTTCCTTCTGGAATCATTATTTAAATGAATATTTTTACGACTTTTTCTGATGTAATACAGTCATTGATTGCCCTTGATTGTCTACAATTAATGGTTTCTGAGAAGAACGACTAACTGTGGTTTGCAACCCCAATTTTAAGCGCTATTTTCATCCCCTGGATATGAAAATGACACTGGGTTTTATGCTGTATGTAAATCTCATCAAAGTCAGAGGGGACCACTTGGACAACAGCCCCTGGTAGATCAACTCAGAGATTACTTTTGTTATTTATTCAAATTCATCTTGAGTATCTTATGTTCTGATTAGAGATCTTTAACTCTGCTGCAACAATTGTCTTAGAATTTTCTAAAATATATAGCCAACATTAACAAACTACGAACCTAACTGGGTGAAAAGATATACGCTATCATAAAGTATTCAAGACAAAATTAGGTCAAAGAGAGATCTAAAGAATGCAGCAGGGTTGATGGAGGAGCGATCTGCAAGAGGTTCAGTATGTTTTATTTCTCTCTCTCTTTGAGAGCTGTTTCGCTTGACAATTTTGCCCATTTCTGCATCAGACGTGTTAGCTGGCGTGAACTCAACGTTTCGTTGTTGAAGAGCGATGAATCCTGCCACGATTTTGCCCTCGGTGAACATGTTTGAGGCTGACGCCAGCATGAACCAGGCCAAGCTTCAAGCTGACCGTACACTCGCATCCTTTCTAGATCACGCCTGATTATTTGCTTTTTATTTGGACATATCACACGGTACAAGAATAAACGATGGCTGTGCCTTTATGCTTAACTCTGTAGTTTAGACTTGTTCCTTTTGAACTGAGCTTGGTGTACGGTTTCAGCTAGCGGCTTGCGCTCTGTCAACCATTGAGATTAAAGTTGACTATGATAAATAAACGATTTATATTTGTTTTGGATGGAGATGACAGTTCAGACATATTCACTGATAATTTGCGGGCCAAACACTGTTGAGATTGATGTTAACTCTTTGAGGCCCAGAGTTGGCAGGCATTTGACAAGGGTGGATGCGCGTTGAACAAGGAATTGTACAATTTTTGTGTGTTAATTAGTAAGACGTTTTCTGTGATGTTGTACAGAGTGATACATGAGGGATGGAGCTTCGTTTCCCAGAGCAGATAATTTATTTTAATGCACATGCTGCGCAGTACAGTAGATAATGGATATAAATTACAGTCTTTTTACAAATGTCTTTGATTATCTTTAAGAAAGTGGCCCTTGAGCAGAGATTGTTTTTATATCCGTGACACTTATTTGAATTCTTTTGTTTGAGTTGTAATAGAGCTCTGTTTTTGATGGATCATTCTGTGCAATATAAAATGGTACAAAAGTAGTTGCAGGATTGGCGAAGCTGTATGATCCTCAAAGAGTTACATAGAGGACATGTGATGGAGTATGTGGGAAGCGGGAATGTGTGTGCGTGGGATGGGAGGAAGAATAGCGAGGAATACTACGACGAATCGGAGAGGATTCGTTTGCAAATGCATCACGAAGGTGACCGAGAAGGTGGAAGCGAGATTAGGAATCGTATGATGGAAATAAAGAGCTATACTACCAACCCAAAGATGCACAACATCATAGAGAGCCGGACAATTTGATAGAACTCATGTCAGTCTAATTATATTTCTTGTTATATTATATACATATATATATCATATTTTCCAAAAACGAATTATATATAATTCAATAAAAAAAAGACACTCTCGTTTGATACTTCGCGAGACCTTTGAATTATTCCCGTGATCCACTGTACACTTAAACATATCATTTATAATTTCATAGTCTTAAGACAATGTCCCCTGAAATAATCATGATTTTCAGTGTTTGTCTTCGTTTTTTCAAATCAAAATTCCCGCCTCTTTGTAAGTTGTTAGTGCCAGTGTTGTATACTCAGTGGTACTCACGAGGAATTCCATTTATGTATCAACATTTATTAGATAATTGTAAATGTTGATAATTATTAGTTAGTGAATTTGTTTCACACATATCCAATACTTTTCCTATAAAAGTTTTGTTTATAATAATATATGTCTATAACATTTATATTTGAACTTCTTTGAAGATCGTATCAAATGATAAATAATAATAAACAAATGGAAATTTTTGTCTAGCAGAAAGAAGATGCAATGTAGAATAAGGAAAAATTTAGAAATTAAATAGGAGCCCAGTATCGACAGCATAATATGTACAGCCCTGAAGAACAGCGCCTCTAGCGTTCTTCTTGCGAATTAACATTGCTAACGGTTTTGAATATGAAGCAAAGAAGTATGTATGGTCCTCCAAGAAGTTTAGGAAAAAAGAAGTCCAAATGAGGTTTCCAATATCATAATTGGTAAGAAACTAAAGCCTTGCTGTTTCTGAATCAATTCATATATAAGTCAATGAGAATCAATGCGAAATGTCTTTGTTTGATGATCCAAAAGAAACTTGGCATGCGGTCAGCATGCCAGGAGCGAACATTGTGCGTTCAATTATTATATAAATTTATCTATATTTCATTTTACAATCAGTATACGTGGATGCGTGCATGAATATTGATGGCGAAAATGACGATGATGATCCTGACAACAAGGAGGATGTGAATCAAGACATTTCAATCATAACCGATGAAGATATTGGTAAGATAAAGTCCTTCGGTTACGATTTAAAATGGCGTCTGGCGCGAAGGATGTGCAAATTACTAATATTTATATTTGTTTGATTTTGTAATTAGTGTGCGTGAATGTGTGTAAGGAAAATAATGATTGGAATGATTGTGGCGATGACGACGATGCAAATTAGAATGTGTCGACTATGGATTCTTAGTGTGATCGATGGAATTTGAAATTGGTAAGTTAAAATTTTTTTCGTCGCGATTCAAAATATCATCTGGCACAGATGATGTTCAGTTATTACTAATATTTGTGTTTCTTTTCTAATTAGTCTGCATGAATGTGTGTGTGGAGAATGATGACAAGAATGACGTTGATGATTGCAACTAGGATTCAGCTTACATCAGGTTCTCAACTTTAATTAATGGACGCCGGTATCGGTGAGTCGAAATTATTTTTTCTGTAATTTAACATAACTACTTTTTATAATATTGGCTTCCTTCATTTGCATTTATGCGACAAATTATTTCAAACTTAGTCATTGTATTTTATTATTTATAACTTTTGGTGATTTTGAGCAAAGAATTAATTGAAACTTCGCCTTTATATTTTAAATAACACTTTAAACAACAAAAGGTTGGCAATTTGTTGATATTTTATGAACGTCTAAATAGCAAAGATTCGTGTATATAATTTAAATCACAATCATGAATGGTATTGTACAAACTATTGCAACAATTCCTTCTATAAAAATTGTTACATGGATGTGTACGAAGTTTCCAAAGAAGTAATCAAAAGGCCCATTCGTTTATGGTTACAAGATTTATTACGTTTTCGTTATTTACACAAAGTTCGTTGTAAGTTCTGTTGACAGGGGTCCAGAGAAACGTTGCGGGACATTGAGTAGTTTCGCGTGTCCTTAAAAAAAGTCTCTATACAGGCATTTTCGTCCCCAATGTCGCTATGAACCAATGCCAAAGTGCTACAATCGAACGTTGACATTCACGTTTGCCATACGTTCGTCGAGTGTGACCAATCCGCGACGAAAGCCCTCCGGATTGTCGATCGCTTCACGTTATTGCACTTGGTTCCAATTCGCGGAACATTGCGTCTCAGAATTTCTAATAACCAATCACAAAGTATCGATACGACGATAATAGTAGTCAAAGAACATAAACAGATATTCCAAATAGTATTTCAAACGATACTATATAAAATATTTCTGAAACTTTTCGGTACGTTATTAACGCAAAAACGAATAATTCAAGAATACTTAGAAGTTCTGGCGACAATATGTTCCCAGTTAGACATAAAAAGCAAAGACAAAATCCTCGAAGGGCGAGCGTCGCCATAATCGCCTTCGTAAAAACCGAATCGAAAAATTCTTTAGATACTTCATCTAGATACTTCTCGAATCCATGGGTTACGAGTTACACTGGCGTGTCCTTCCATTGTCACTCTTTAAATGTAAATTTTACGATCTGTACCCACCACCACGTTGGACCCAGTTACGCGACTGCTACCAATTTATGCTAGCAGTTTGTTCCTCTCGTTCGCGACGATTAACAATTAAGAACAGTTCTAAGAGTCGGTTCTCCAGCTTCTCTCGATTCTCGAGCACGGAAATCGCGCTTTTGAAACCGGCCACAATAGTGCTCGTTCCGAGGAAGCTGTCTTCGGTCGCGGAAGAATCGAAGGAACTTCCGGTTCCGGTGGACGAACCCGAACTTCAAAAATTCGCACTCCTGGTTAGCCGAAAACCTTGAATAGGCCTTGAGCAGGACTAACAAAATTTCTGGCTCGACTTTCACGAAATCGTCGATATCCTTTCGGTGAATCAAAATTGTAAACGTGTTTCCTGGAGTTCGTCCGCGGGAAACCGAAATTGGTCCGCTCAAGGAGTACCGACATCGGAGCAGCACCTCGATTCAATTAAACTAATTTACGTTTAAGCGTTATAAATGGATTACAATCGGATTATACACTCGCTTTTCGCCACACTCATGCGAGGGTCGCGTTGTCGGAAAAACACGTCGAGGCTTCTCATTTATAATTCATGAATTCGATCCGACAATTCATCGCTATCTGATACATGGACGACAGTGTTCCCTCATTTTTCCGTCAACGGGACCTAATCTCACGTAATACGAAGCACGCGGACTCGTAGGAAGCACGCAATATCCAAAAGATCTCGTGCAACTATTGAGTTGTCGGTCAGGAGAACTACAATTCGTTTAAACTTGGGGAAACTGGTCTGGGATCGAGAACGGCCGATCCTGTATGAGGGCCTTGTTACTCTTTATGGCCAATTACTTGCATTCTTGGGGGATACAAGCAAGTTGAAACAGAAATTCTAATCAGCTTTCTTCTTTAGTTTAGAATATATAATTATCTGGGCAGTTGAACATCTTTGAGTAGGTATCATTGTTAACATGTTGTTATCATGGAATCTCGATCAGGACCATTCAGGATCAATTTCTGCCGATCAGAGGAAGATATTGAATCTACATTTTATAAACGAATTTAATAAACTAATTTTCGAAAATTGACCTAGAGTATTATGTATATACCCTTGATCAGGGCATTAATATGTTCATAGTTCGGGATAATTGTTTAATAGCAATAGCAGTTTCAATAATCCAACAGATTATTTCCAGTAGTTTAATGAAATAATTTCGTTTGGGATCATCGCGTGAAGCAAGATGTTTAAGCACCTTTTTGTTACAGCATAGTCCAGTTTACTCAAGATTAGGGAAATCAGAATGAATTTTTATGTTCGATTTACACGGTGATCGACCTGTTGACTTCTCGATCGCGTCGATCTCAAGAATCGAGGATCCCTGCGGATGTTCTCAGCTGGCTCGATCGAAGACCGTTTCCTCTCGATGCGAACAGTGTAAATGAACCATTCGGCTGACTATAAATAGGGAAAAGGGTATTGCTATGGACGGCGGACAGTGAACGCGCCAACACCGGCGCGCCAGTCGAAGAAACAAGGAGATTCGTTACGTAGAAGATCACTGGGGCGTTTGATGCGCATAAGACAGTCCCTCTGTTCTAGCTGACTTCACCTTAAACGCTAGACCGGATGATATCAGTTAAATTAGCAACCGGAATAATGTAACGGTGATAACATAGGGCCAGAGAATATCCGCGAATAGTGCGCGCCGTTTTCTCGTTTACATTTTTAGTGCGGCTGCTAGGGTTAGCTAGGACAGCGTATACCGGACTAGTATACAGTATGTATAGAATAATAATAATATTAATTATGTATATATATATATATAACATACATGTATCTATATTTATAGATTTATATATATATATTAGAGTTTAATCCTAAAAGGTTCATGTCGATTCGTTCCAAGTCGCGGGGCTAGGCTACGATTTTTCTCTAGAGCGAAGGTCGCGGCACGTGTTCGGAAGACGATAGTTCATGGGGCACCATGGAATTATCGTGCAGTTAGAAGGTATCGAGCGGGCAGTGGCCGAAATTCGGCGGGGTCGCGGGGAAGCTATTCTATTTCCTTTGAGAGGCAGATATTTTCTCCACGAAAGAACAATTTTTTGGCTTCCTCGAAGCCTTAGTTACTTCTCGAGAATCTTTTTTGCTTCCTTGAGAATTTTTTTAGTGTATTTGAGAATCTTTCATCTTCTTCAAGAACCAGCAATCTGGAAGTTCATTTTTCTCTCACAAGACAGCTACTTTTGCCTCAAAAAGTTCATGAAAATCGTGTCCGTTGTCCTCGAAAATCTACTTTATTAAAAAAAAAAAAGTGACTTTTCTGAGTAGCGCACAGTAAAAGCTACCAAGATGGCAAGATCTCCGCGAAACCGGTAGGAAATAGCGTCGACCACGCTTGGAGTGGTCTCGATACCTTCTTCACACGCGACCGGACCCATAACTACTTCCTCGATGAACAAATAGAGACAATAACATCGGCAAAGTTGAGCAAAGGGTATCCTCGTTTAAATCCATCTAAATTCTCGGCACCCCGCCGCGACCCTAGAACCGATACTCTTTTTCTTTTTCTCTTTTCGGAAGATCGTCCCTCAAGGTCGTCGACTGAGAAAAATCGACTTCTCCGAAGTTAGACACCTCGTCTCGAGTTCCTTCTTCGTCCTTGAATTTCTTCTCGTTTCTCTTCTGCCGGTTCTCGTAAATCGTTTTTCTGTTTGATCGTTCTCGTTGGTTCGCAATCTCCCGGGGTTCACGCGATCAATTAACTGCTGTGACTGTACGCGGTGTTCGTGTACGGGCCGCTGTAGATGGACGAGCCTGTCGTCGAGACGCTCTTGTGTCGTCTCTTTGCTAGTAGTACCAGAATGGCGGCTACCACTGCTAACATGAGGATCAGACCCGCGATCGCGATGCCGATGGCGAAGCTCCTCTGCGAGATGCAGATGCTGTCTGTATCGTCTGTCGCCTGGAAATTACATCATTCTGGTGTTAGTTGTTCATGCGTGTCATTAACGATTTTTTTTTTAACAGAGGTCCATACTTTTCAGTTTGATCTTTTTCTTTTTTTATTGACTCTTCAACTTTTTCTAGAATTGTTATCAAATTCATTTGGTAAGGATAGATACTTGTTCTTCCGGGATTCTATCAAAACTTACTTCAGCATCTCAAATGTTACACTATTTTTACTTGATAACTGTACAAAGCTACTCGTGGCAATTATCATTGAAAGTCAGAGGGATGTGTATAATCCTCCAAAAAATTTATTACACATATCACAACTTCAATAATCATTAAACACATTATCTCACTAGCTGTTTCGTCTTTCAGATCGTTGTTAAAAATTGCCGGGGCTGAGAGGTTTAAGAGCAGGCAAAACCAGGTGGAATTTCGCCAGTTGTTTCCAGGACACTCTATTGCGAGATTTCAGTTTGCCAATCGGCGACGAAGGTCTCGGCGGTAGTTTTCCAAGAACGATCATTTCGAACCGCGAAATCGGCTTGCCAATGAGAATACAAATGCGACTCACCCTTTCTCTGACGACGTCATCGCTGTAATCAGACCTGGAGCCAATGTCCGAGGCTTCGTTCACGTATAGTCCGCTGTAGACCTCTATGGTTGCCTCTGTACCACCGTCGAGGCCCTCCACGTTTTTCACCGCGTTGTTCGCAGTGTCCCTGCGTCGTCTCGACACCGAATTGCAAGCCGGCGGCTGCAACAACGGCATAGTGATTACCTCTTTTGGAAACTCTCCAAAAACCTCGATCATGCGATCGGTTGGACAGTCATGCGACTCGCCTCTCCGATTTAATACAATTTGCTCAATCTGTCTCTTGTTTTTTAACCCTTCGCTAACTCGAAGTTAACTCCCGAACTCCTGGACATTTCTCTCGACACAGAAGATTCCTATTTCTTTTCGGTGTTTGTTCTCTTTTTGTGTGTAAAATCGAACACTAGCAATTACATTTTATTAAATAGAAACGATAATGTGTAAAAATTGTTTGAAATTACACAGTACGATCAATTTTATTGGGGACTCAGAGTCGTCATTCGTGTGCAAAGGATTAAGTACAAAAACAAGAACTGTTGAGGACTGGATGCTATGTTTATTAATTATGCAATGCAACTAGAACAGGGTATAGAGATCTTGATGCACTTCTGGCATCATTTGTTTCCATGTAGAGCAGACTCGGTTCTTAATTTAAATTGTAAAGTGTTCGAGATAGTTTGTTGGATTTCGCTGTAAGTATGGTTCAAACGCGTTTAAAAGTTCATAGTCTTGCGAAAAAAATACACCAGTGCATTCAGAAGTGCCTATAGAATTGCCTGTTGTGCGAGCAACATTTGTACGGTATTTATCGTCGAGGTTCAAAAATTTTTCAAATTATGCATTTAAATGCACAGGGTGATTTTAAGCGGTCATAACAATCAATTGACGAAGCAAGTAACGACCGGATTTAATCATAAGTTGAAGATGGCCTGTGTTGGAGTGAAACGATGATCATTGATACAGATTGCGTTGGAGAACAGAAGAAAAAGTAATTCATGCTTAGATGGTAGAGCCATGCGGCTATAAATAAAGATTATGGGGGGATATGGTTGCTTCGCTATCCTTTCACCATTTAAAAGATTCGATTCCCGTTTGATCCGATATTGCTAAATGATTATTACACTATTAAAATCTGATCATCGTGTAAGTAATCCGTAGTAGTATTCAAGGGGAAGGGATTATGGGAGATTCAAGCCGCGTGAATCTAACGGGTTGAATGGAATTTCTTATTACCGTGATGCTGCATCCTCCGTCGTGTTTCACGCACATTCTGACGTTGCACTGGTAGTAGACACTAGCTGTGTAAGGGAATTTGTGCGCATGGAAGTTCACCTTCGCCTCCGTTTTGTCCTCGTTGTACGTGAATTGTCCCATAATCTCGCCGTCCACCGGGCAACTGGAATAGAAATGGATTTCGCGATCACTATACTGCTCGCAACAGAAATTGTCCTATTACATCCCGTTCATGTTTTACAGGAATTAGAAGGATCAAGGTGTTGTAGACATTTCAAAACGAATGTCGTTCCAGAAGTATGCAGAAGTTTGATCACGTACGTAACAAAAGGATACATTGTTCAGGATTCTTATTTAAGTCTTCCATACATAATTCAGTTTTGCGAGGAACATACTCGTACAAAATTGTTCGCTATGTGTTAAACGATTTCTTTGATTTTTAGAGGATTGCGCTGACTTTTTGGGACAACGAAATCGAAAGTTGACGGCTTGTGACATAAGTTTTGGCGGTTACATCGGGCAGGTCGAGAGGGAAAGTGTCCCCGCAACAACCTGTCTCATCAGCTGATTTGCTTATGAAAAGAAGTCACTGAACCGACCCGCTTTGTACTCCGAATTCCGACCCTTGAATTATTCATCGGACGCTCTGACGTGGTCAATGCGGTCACATAGATAGCGGAATTGTTTTTTCGAACCGTGTCTGCCAATAGACTGCCACGTGACAGGCATTTGGATGCACAAGTTCTCTTCTCTTTTACCAATTCTACATTCCCGGAAAATGAAGTTCGTTGGGAATCCAGAAAAGCAGATTACAAAGAGTGAAATTTAAACAAAAGAGTAACTCGAAGAGTGTAATCATCATCGTCGATTCTAATTTTTCATCATTGGCTATGGTGTGCTGTAAATTAAAGTCATAAGCGTTTTGCAACGCGATGGTGGTCGTAGCTAGATAAAATAATTTACAATGAAATTATAGCTGCAAGAAAACGTTGAAATGCTTGTAGATATTTAACGCTGGAACTACCGGGCGGCTCAAAATGTTTCTGAAGTCTTGTTGAGACTTGTAAAAATGTTTTGATAAACTCTGTCTCTCTTTCGATAATCTCTCTTTATTCGAACATACATATATTGTAACAGAAATCTAACGATGTTTGAGTAGATCCAATCTCGTAATTATTATCAAATAACGTACATTAGTAGCACTTAGGGTTCGTTAATTCTAGTGTTGAGACTGATTTTTTCTAACTTCGGGAACACGCTAACATCGTTTAAATTTCCTTAGCGGGTGTACCTTTCGTGCGCAACGTATAATAATCGCCATATGGGGGCGTGTACGTAGCCATCCGGAGTCAAGGGGTCAAATAAATTGCGTTGATTTGACGGGACATAATGAGTAAGGTTGCGGAGTGTGAAAGAATGTAGAGCTCGCGGAGACTAGGAAAATTGATGGTGATTAGGAGATAGCGCGGATGATACTAGTGGAACGCAGGATATATAGAGCTGTTTTCTAGAAGAGGGAGCACGGCCGTAATTGTGGAAAATAGGTGACCCGGAGCCCGTGAGAAACGGGGAAGCGTGGCTCCAGAAAAAAAATAACGAAAGAGAAACTTCTCTCGGTGGATGCGAGCAAATATAAGTGATTCTCGGAAAATAACGTAATAGGAAATTACCCTTCATCGTTTATGAGCTTCTGCTCCCCCCATCCGAGTCCATCGCGTACCAGGCAATCGGAGATCTTCAGGCCGAACATTTCCTGTTTGTCGATGCTAATGACCAAGGTCAGGGGGTCCCCGATCTTCACGTTTTCCGCCACTTGATGCCTCGTTGGATCTCCGTTAAAGATCTTCATCGTGCATCCTGGCATAGGAGCTGTTGCCTGTCAAGAACGTTTCTTGCTAGTCTCTTAATGCTTACTAGACTATTCGCGATCCTCTATTTTCGCTACCGAAAGCTCTACACGCGAGAATCGTTCCCCATCTTTTTTATCACGCTTACTGCGGACGCTTAAGCGCGTTCTCATTTTTGCGAGAAAAACAGAGAAGGGGTTAATAGAATTGTTTCTGCTTCGGTAATTGCTTCCAGAGATTGTTTGAATTTATTTTATTTTAGATTGTTCAAATTTTCTAGACAAACGAGACCGTCAAATTTTATTTACAAGCAAACGTATTTTATCTATAAGAAAGGCTATAAAATTTTATCTATAAACAAGTTTATCTTCTTTTCTTCTTTAACACCGATACTGTAGGTTTACAAGTTATCATTTTTATGAAAAAATTTGTACAGAGAAAAGAAGAGCTTCTGTTGCTTATAAAAATACAAAAGGATCTATTCATATTTCAGTGATTGCATAGTTGGACGAATTATAAAATAGTCAGCATGATCTTGTCTTTTTCATTTGGATGCGACGATGTAGTGACTTTCATAAGAGATTTTTCGTGTTACCAAGTGTCGGGAGCTGTATCGAAGCAAAGAAATGCATTCTCACCTGCAACGGCAGGGATTGTAACATGGCCACGTGCGTCTGGTCGTTCGTTACCACTTTGTCTCGCGTCTGGTACCGACATCTCACGTGAAAACCTCTGCCCTGGTTCGTGACCAGCTTCAGGTGTGGCTGCACCACTATCGTGTTGAAGTATTCGATACCGCCGTCGTCCTGTAACGGAATTCAAAAATGTCTCTATTAATAAACAGTGCCACAGGCGATGCGTGTTCTGGGATTTTTGGAAGCGTTTGTCGTGACAGACCTGGCTGTAATCAATGTAATTGATGTAATTAATTTAGGGGTGGTAAATTCTATGCTGTGTTTCTTCTACGATTAGTTCATCCATGCTTTCGTAGGCTTCGAGCTTGAAAATTTCATAGATTTTAAGGGTTACGAGTTCAAAGATTGCAAGATCCAAAGTTTTAGAGATTAAAGGACACAAACGTTTAAAATTTGAGAACTACAATGGTATAAAAATTCGAGGGTTCGTCGAGCTCAAAGTGCTAAGATGTCGAGAAGGATATTCCGTGTTTTACACCGTCTACTAATTTATTAGTATCGTGCACGTTCTCGTCGACTAAAAAACTGTGTACCGACTCCGTCTCGGAGCGGCCGCAAAGCAATTTCTCGGGCCTCGGTGTCTGGGTCGTTTCGAACCTGCGGCGAGGATATAAAGTAAATCAAGTCACAATGTAAAACCGATCCCAATCTCCGCTCCCTTTCTGCCCGTGCTATCGTAATTGTTTCAGTCATTGTTCGCAACGGACGCGTTTCGGTGTGCCGACTGTTGCAATTCACCAGCGCGTTTACGAGCCATTTCGTGGCTTCAACTTGTTGATCGGGACTGGCAACCCTTTCAGTCCCCTCAGCAATCCGCGTGTCCTTGCACCATGCCAGCAGGAACCTAATCGTTTTTTCCCCTTTCATCTCTAAAACGTCTTTTTCTTCATTTTATTAAAATTGCGATTCATAACTGATAATTAAAACTTCCTTAATTATCTCCCAAGCACCGACTTACTAATTCTCTTCTTTGAGACACTTCGCTATAGAGTACCTTTTTTTACTCACTTCAAGATGATTGTTCACCTACAAGCGTTACCGCCCGTGGCTATTTCATTTTCTTCCCCGACGAGAATCGCTTCTGCAATCTATCCGGACCAGTCATTGCTATTAATGCGAACGATAATCACCGTTGATCAGCTTAATTCGTAAACGAAGCTTCCGCGGGCGACGGGTGTAATGGGATGATGATCGTCGTCTTTAGGGGACGCCGATGATCGTGTCTAGCCGATCGAGACTCTATTTATACGTGTTTACCTAACTGTCCCTTTTCTGGAGAGCGATTCATTTCTTTCGCTAATGGAACCCATTAAGCAGCACATTCTACGGAACCTCCAGTTTTTTGCTACTGCTAGCACTTTTTACCACAGTTCCACAGTTTGCTTAATTCATCTTACACAATTTACTCTTATTAATCGTGCTAGAATTCTGGTATTCAATTCTGGTGCAATGTTTTTCGAAGTCGAAACTCTTCGAAGCTGGAACTCTACGAAGCCTGAAGCGACGGGCTCAAGTGCGAATACTTGAATTTTCGCACAGAATACACACCACGATTTCTCCGGCGTCACCGCAAACAACTTAAAGCGCCGCTGTGTCACACGATCCGGACCACGATCGGACTCCTCATGGCAAAACGAGCAACGATGCCCGGCGTTGTTCCCCGTCCTGTTCCTTTTTCCTGCGGGGCCCGTCCCTTCAGACCACCCCGGTGAACGCGACGAATTTTTGCGAGTTCGCCGTTCCCTCGAGCATCGATTTTTCTTGCGGTTCTCGCGCGCAGGAATTCATTCCGTGAACTCGATCGCGCTTCTTCTGTATTATGTTCATACTTGGCCAGATCCGGTGGTTTTCCGCGGCCAGCTGGCCATTCCGGGAACCCTCCGCCAGCGAATGATCATTGGTCGATCCTCGACGAACGTTGCATCCATTGTCACCGAGAAGCTTTAGGTTTCACCGAGGAATTTCCCCGTTTTCTTTTTCTTCGAAACACGTCGCGTCGCGTCGCTCGCAAATATTCCAAATAATCTTTCTCTTTCAACTTCTGGCATTTATTCAGCGAGTTCCATTTGTTGTCGACAGTCATTACTTTCTCTCCAATTTCATAATAAATGTATTCGTCCGAGGAATTTTCCCCTTTCCTTTTTCTTCGAAACTCGTCGCGTCGCTCGCAAATATTGCAAATAATCTTTCTCTTTTAACTTCTGGAATTTATCCAGCGAGTTCCATTTGTTGTCGGCGGTCATTACTTTCTCTCCAATTTCATAATAAATAGTTTGTCCTGTTAAAATATTGAAATAGATAAATAAATAACGTTTGGATCGAACCAAAAATTTGTACTGTTTTCCGATCAATTTTCAACTTAAAATGAAGAAACAAGCTAAGAATAGAACGGTTTAATTATCAGATTTGAAGTTCAAGATCTTTAGTGTAAAAGATTAGAACAATGTTTAATTATAAATTATGTTATTTCATTAAATTATTAATTGTAAATTGATCGTTTGGACGATACAGACGAGAAAAACCCCTCTGAAAATTATTAAACCATTAATTTCACAGATTTCTTTCTTCAATAATATAACAATTCTTTTATTCCTCTCTTATTTCTTTCTTGGAATCTTTTCATTCGCTTTTCGCCGTATAAATTCGCTAGAAACGTGAATAGGTATAAAATGGCCGCTTCTGCAGTTGAAGTTAATTGGTGCAATTCGAATGGTCGAGCTGTTTCTTGCAGTCCTGGCCAGTAAATAGGGGTTTCTAACTCTGTCCTAGGCATACGAGGCAGCTGTGCCTCGTTGCTAGGTGTGAAACGTAAAGTCACCGATCCTGACGGGCCTCCTCGGGCCTCTCTCGGGCCGATGCACCGCAGATTGCGAGTATCCTTGCTGAGGTCGGACGCGGGGATTCTCGAAGGTCGTTGCCTGCTCGATATATACGGTGTGCGTGCAAAATCATCGCACAGAATTCGTTCTTCGTCGATTTCCATTAATTAATTCCGCGCTTCTCCCAAATCGAAACGACGAATCCCGCCTTCATTTTTAATGCTTCCGCGTGATTTTTGTAGATAGACTTGCTGATCCCCAAATTTTGCTATTCCTTTTTGCTTTAGCCTTAGACTGCAAATAGTATGCACTCACGGTGAAATTCAGTAATCGCGATTTCCAAGAGGCGAAAAATTCAAGGAATTTAGAAATGTCAGCATATTATTTCCAATTGATTAACGTTATTACTGGATGAAAGAACTTGCTGCTATTCAGTTGCAACTTCTTGCAACCGCATCGGTTACAATTTTGCGAATTTACAATTTTAAATTCGCATAAAAGTCCGCAGTTCAGTTGTTAAATTCGCAAGCTGCGATATCGAGTGACCAGTTTTCATAAAAATTTCGTAGCATCGCGTGAACACAAGAGTTAGGTAAACCTTGACATAACCAGGAGGGGGGGGGGGCGCTAAATGAGCAATGTTAGCGTTGGCGGAGATTAATTTTCGCGTAACAGGACTAACCAGGAAGCGTTTCCTGGCGTTGTCCTCGTCCGGGACCGAAAACGATAGGAACCTCTTTCCCAAAGGACACAATCTTCGCTCAGGAAGTCGCAGAGCCCGGAGAAGAGAGGACGTGGTTCCCAGCTCGCAGGAGATCTTATCTCGTTTGCGTAGGTTCTTAATTAGATTCACGAAATGGACCTCTATTTTCCGAACGATCGTTTTCCCCGATTAGCTTGTTATCGTTCTTTGTTCAGAATTTAATAATCCACCGGGGAAGACAAATTACATGGGGACGGTAATTAATCAGCGTTATCTCGGCGCTTTAATGACGATAATGACAGCGATCTGGTTGTCCCCGGGCGTCCTGGAAGTGCGTGGTGGCTAGGTTACGATCCTTGCAATCACGGTGTCACTCGATAAGCCACATGCTGCTCTCGGATAGCGGTCGCCGGGAATGGTCGTTGGACATATTTCGTAATATCAACGACGTCGTGCACATCAATATCTGATAATGCGTTTCCAAGATATCGTTATGGTCGTCGACATCGTTTCACGGCATTGCTCTCGTTAGCAGCCGCGAAAATTCGACTCGTTAATACAGTTAACGTTCCCCGGGGACCTCGTTATGCGGACGATAATTTCTTAATGACTTGATAAAACAGTCATCGAGTATGGACGGACGTTCAGTGGCGCCTTCCCGAGACCGATATGCTCGTGTCTCTAATTACTCTATAATGTCTGTGGAACATCTAATTTAATCGCATCCAGGCTGATGTAGTATCCGTAATTAAATCGGAGAACGGGCCAAAAATCTCGCGAGCAGAATTTCCTCGGAATTTTTATCTAGCAACTCGAAATGGCTAGACGACTGCGGAGCACTCGACTCTCGTTAATACAAGAGCGAAAATGTTTTTAGCTGTTGGTTAACGCACTTCGCGGTCTGCTAATTGATTTCTAGACGGCGCGTTAAACGAGCGGTTCACCGTTCGGCAATGCTAATGCCAATGTTGCAGATCGTATCGGCGATTTGTGAGCCAAACTCACGGCTAAATAACATCATTACATAATTCATGTTCCCCTGCTGTCAGACAATTGATCGAGCACACTCCTTTCGGCCATTATACGTACAATTGTGGGCGTTAATTGCATTATACATTCCCGCGGCTCCAGCGATCTCAATTTTAAATACTACTACTCTCTCCGAAAATCGAAAGCCTAACTTTTATTCGCCACGTTTCTTCTGATAATATCAAACGCTGCCAACGAAGAAAAAGTTATCTTTCTTCGAGAACTCAGCATTCTGAAAAAGTTATCGATGTTAATATAAAGTACTTATTCAATCGCTAAATCATGTTTCCACATGATTGCAACGGACGATCCACGCAGCTTCAACGAGATCCCCATTATTGATCTCTCCCCAATAAACAAATGCGCCTGAGAAAGGTATTTTTTGGTAGCTCACTTTTGTACGTCATTTAAAACGCAACAACTTTTTTTATAATTGAACTAAACGACATGAATTTCTTTTTTAGACGATAACAGGGCTAGTTTATTTTAATGTGCCCATTACTTGGAACGGCAAGAAAGAATGAAAAAAGAAGGCACCACCTATCCAAGGACGTCGGCTA